TAACTCATTATGATTATACGTCTGTGTTTGCCCTTATTGACCTTAACTTTTGTCCTTGTATATTATACTATAGAACGAAAGGAAAAGTGGACAACATGTAGCTCGTTAAAATGGAAGTGAGTTTAATTCGAAAGAGTAATCGCTTATTATTCTCCATAAAAATTTATTTGTTTTTAGAGTTCTTTGGTTGTTTTTTCAAAGCTTACGCCTATCGAAGGAGTGCTATGTAGAAACGTGAATTGAGCGTCGAAAATATATATCAGTATGAATAATCAATAAGAAAAGTAAAAGTCATCTTTAAAAAAAGAAATATTTCATGTAAAGCCAAATTTATTGATGAATACTTGAAAGAATTTCAGTGACTCTTGCATGTGATTTCGATATAGTTTGTTGCTGAAGTCTTAAGTTGATTTGAATTCTGAATAAAACATTATTGTTTTTCTTTTCCTCAGGATTTAAAATTGGAATATTATGAACTAATGATTGAAATGAATTTACATGAGGAAAAACTATTGTGATGTATGTCAATATTATAAACATTATTGTGATACACCACGTATAAAACAAGACGCAGAAAAAAATGAAACAGGCATTAAAACATGTTGTTCTCTATTTAACTTTATCACCATATAATAATGAACAATCGGATTTTTACATCGTTTATTTCTTGACAAAAATCTTGTAGAAGTTCCTAAATATCAGTAAGGAACTATTTTCTTTTCTTTTTTTTCAAATTATCTTATTACTATCAAAATAAATAGAGATTTATTACAACGTTTCAAAACTCAACAACTTATTCATTCGAAAGATATTATAAAACATTTCGAAAATGAATTTAAAAATGGTAAATCGTTTACAAGGTATCGTTATATTTCGACAAAAAAAGCCACCACAAGAAATTCTTAATGAAGAGTCAGTTTATCTTGGTTCATTAATGACAATTATGAATAAAACATGTCATTTAATTAATAAAAAAGAAATTGTTCATGCTGTACGAACATAAACAAAAATAAATATTTAATTAACATATTAAATGTGATTAAACTAATATTTTCACTTTTTTCTTTGTTGATTTTTTTTGTCTTATTCTATATCTTCGTAAACTAAAAAAAGAAACTGAAGAATAAACTAAACATGTGCTCTCTAGATGACCACTTCAGAGAAGTAATCAATCAGATTAGTAATGAGATAAATTTGTAAAGAAAAAATTAATTAACAATAGAAAAAGTCTTCCTATTGAGATTCGCGGGTCCTTGCTTTTTCAAATCGTATCGAAACGATTTTTCATTTAGAGATGTAAGACAAGCACTTCTATAGAATACTGTTGTCACCACTAATCTGCGTATAGAGAGAAAGAGAGAGCAGCGCAGTCTGGCATGGTCGTTCAAATAATGAAGAACTTCAACTAAGCAAAAGAGTCAGTTTTAACTCTCTTTTGTTGAATACTTCCCGAAAAATGCGAGGCGATGAAAGCGTCCGAACTACTAGGAGTATACATAATCAAAATAAATACAACTCCAGAACTTCATATCTAAAAAGAAATGCAAAACCATGAATAACAGTTAGAATATTTTTGTGTTTATCTATTTTCATGCATATGATTCCGTTACTTCTTTAAATGTAGGTGATTTATAGAATGTTCACATTTAATTCATATCATTGCAATAAGATTTTATTAGCCTGAATTGTCAAGTATTTTCGTATCGATGGTCTAGTTCACATTTTATTTGTAAATTTCATTTCTAAGATACAGCATTATGCACTTATTTTTGCTCGTTGTTCGCAATTTGTTGTATTTCTACAAAACATCAACAGTGTTCAGATTCCAAAATAGGAAATTACAGAAGATACTTTTCTTTGACTTTACTTGATTTTGAAGATAATGGAGATTTTCGTAATTTCCTTTTTCAGAAATAGCAACATACCTCGTTTTCCTCGCTTATATCAACGATGAAGTATTCATTATTGAAGATTAATCGCAATCATTGTTTGCATTCGATACTTTCACCTCAAGATTGTTCGGTCGCGTATGTTGACGGAAAGGAAATGAATTAAAGACTTTTTTTCTTTCCTATTGACTTTTGCTCATATTATACATATGTGTATGTATAGTTCATACAAATAAAAAAAGAAAACTTAACTAATCTTTTACGACTCGCCGTTGTCAACAATGACGATTAAGCTATTTGACCAAGTCGATACTTATATACAAGTTAGTAGCAGACGAGGATAAAAGAACTGACAAACAATGCTCATCCTTGTTCAATGTCTCATTCAATTTATATGTTTATGTATGTACAGTAGCGCAAAATTAATTGATGATACGAGTATGTGGTCTAATGATTTGTTGGTCATTAGGCGTGGCCTTGTTGATCAAATGGATTAGTAGTACCAGGAAGGAAAAAAAGAAGAATAGAACGACAGACGACGACGCGAAAATAAAACGATGTCCGTCACTTCTTGATCTTTTCATCATATTGTTGATTGATAGTCGAGAATAAAAAAAAATTGCGTCTCATTTTGGATCATGTCCAGTGTATTGATGCCTCACTTGTTACTACATCATCATCGTCATCATCATCCTCCACCACCACCACCACCACCGCCGCCACCATCACTCACAATTCCATTAATTGAACCAGTACCACCTATTCCACCACGTACTCATTCACGACCATCATCAAGACAACAACAACAGCCACAATCGCAAACAGTTCTATCAGCATCTATTCGTAAAACTAATAATACTAGTTCGTTTCGACCTGATGATTTACCGTCGCCTGATCGTGAATGGCAATTACTTGAAAATATTGGTGATGGTACATATGGTGAAGTATTTCGTGTAAGCAAATAGAAAGTATTTTCATGTTGATACAATGATTTTGTGTTTCACGTAGGCAAGAAATATTCGAAATCCAGATTTTAATGCTGCTGTAAAAATCATGCATCCAACAGATGAAATCCTTGAAGAAATCGAACAAGAATATCGTGTTCTCCTTGAACTATCAAATCATGAAAATCTTTGTCGTTTCTATGGTGCTTATTTAAAACGTGCCCCACCTCCTCCACCACCACCACCACCACCACCACCTCGAAATCCAACGGATCCATCACAGCTTCTCATCGATAAAACAAGTCTTCTTTCAGTTGAAACTAATGCTATAACTAATCTTGTCAATCAATCAGGCACATCTATGCCATTACCAATTGATCAACTATGGTTGGCCATGGAATTGTGTACTAGTGGAAGTGTTACTGATCTAGCAAAAGCAATACTAAAAGCAAATCAACGTTTGGATGAATCAATTATTGCTTATATTATACGTGAAACATTAAAAGCTCTACATCACCTCCATTCAAATAATGTGGTTCATCGTGATGTCAAAGGTCATAACATTTTAATCACAGGTGATGGTCATATTAAATTAATTGATTTTGGTGTAAGCGCCTATTTAAATCCAACCAATGGACGGCGTAATACTTCTGTTGGTACACCATTTTTTATGGCACCCGAAGTTATTGCTTGTGAAAGGCAAATGGATTACGATTATGATACACGTGCTGATGTTTGGTCTACGGGTATTACAGCTATTGAAATTGCTGAAGGTAGATTTGCTTTCGTTAAATTAAACTTATGCGATTTCTATTTCTATTTTTGTTTTGTTCCAGGTGAACCTCCACTTGCTGATATGCATCCGATGCGTGCACTTGTATCCATTCCTCGAAATCCTCCACCATGTTTACGTCAACCACAAGAATGGTCCAATGAGTTCAATGATTTCATTCGACAATGTCTAATAAAAGATTTCGAAGCAAGACCAACAGTAACAAATATGTTATCTCATCCATTTATAGTACAACTGCCAGCTGATGGTTTTGATGCTCGTCGTCGTATCCTACAAATTATTCATCGTTATAAACGTTGTTATGATTTATCTGGTAAGAAATCTCGTGAAACATGTGGCGTTAAAAATGGACATATTCGAGGAAAATCAGAAACATGTTCATCTGTAACTATGGATACAAAAACAAAGCAGTCCGTACCTTATTCGCCCGTTGTTGAACCTCTTGTTCCACCACCGAAACGTATTACACATGTTATCGGAAAACCATATCATCCACCACATCAAATTAATGAAAATCATAAACGTATAGTTGAAAATACATATCATAACAATGATTTAAATGCACAAATACAGCAACCACAAAATCAAGTATATAAAACAAAACGAAAATCTCAATCAAGACGACAACAAAAACAAATTCAAAAACAAATGAATCAAGTAAATTAATCTATTTGTTATTTTGACACAAAAAATAGAATAAGAATGCTTGTTTTTCTTGAACTATAGCAAAACGGTAATGACACTTCATTGCTACAAGATAGTTCTATGTCATCGTCATATGACGAGAGATCTGTTCGGCATCCATCATTAACAAAAAAATTTAGTAATACAAATTTTTATAACTCAACATATGAATCAGCCTATCCCATTAATTCATCATGTATGACAAATGATTTACCATTATGCATACAACCACCGATTCCATTTTCAACCGATGATCTTGCACAATTGGAAACATTGGATGAACAATCAATAATAACTTATATGTATAATCGATTTTTAGCCAATCAAATTTATACATATATTGGTGATATACTTGTCGTAAGTAATTTTTTGAAAAATAAGAAGAAAAAAAACTTCTCATTCTATTGTTTTTCTAGGCTGTAAATCCATTTCGTTCATTACCAATTTATGGTAAAGATGTTATGATGCGTTATCGTTCGAGTGTTAAAAGTGAACAAGTTCCGCATATCTATGCTTTAGCTGATTTTACTTATCAAGCAATGTTACACGATTTAGAACATCAATATATTGTTATATCAGGTGAAAGTGGTTCAGGTAAAACACAGTCAGCTAATTTTCTCGTTAAACAATTAACATTTCTTGGTAATGCACCAAATAAAAGTTTACAAGAAAAAATTCTTCAGATCAACCCATTAATCGAAGGCTTCGGTAATGCACGAACAATTATAAATGATAATTCATCTCGTTTTGGAAAATATCTTGAAATGTTATTTACAAAACAAGGACGTGTGACAGGCGCACGTTTATCAGAATATCTATTGGAAAAAACACGTGTTGTAAATCAAGGACGCGCTGAAAGAAATTTTCATATATTTTATTATTTATTTCATGGTTTAGCATCATCAATGCCAAATGATGCAAAATCATTTTATCTGTCAACAAATCATACTTATCGTTATTTAACCACTGGTCTACAAGATGATCGTGATTTAGCTGAAAGTTTTAAATCGAAATTTTCCACAATTGAAAAATGTTTTGAAATTATTGGCTTTCAATACGATGAAGTCAAATCAATTTATCGAATATTAGCTGGTCTTTTACACTTAGGTAATATAAGTTTTCATCAAAATGAAGGACATTTTATTGATGGTAAAACATGTGTAACTGATCAGCATTTATTACGAATTGTTTGTGAACTATTTGGTGTTGATATTGCAGAATTTGATTTAGCATTAACAACATGTAATATAGTTACACGTGGAGAAACAATTCAACGTTCAACAACATTACAAGAATCACAATCGACCAGAGATGCCATGGCAAAAGCTCGTAAGTTGAAAATTAATGAACAGGCAACTCGGACTTCTTTTTCTTCTGTTTTAGTTTATAATCGTTTATTTTCTTGGATTGTTAATCGAATATCAGCACTTCTTGCACCGACAAAAGATACTATAAATCCAATAGCGGATGATGAATCAAGTATACATTCTGCTCACGTCTATAATGCAAATAATAACAATAACAATAATAATAATGATGATGATGATGATCAACGAGATGAAAGTGAAAATGAAATTGATGAAAATATTTATCAAGAAAATACTTGTGATCGACCCTCAACAATCATCACATCATATCCCATGCAACAAGCATTTAATTACTTAGATATGTCATCGTCGTCATCCTATTTACTTCAGTTACCTTCATCAGAATTCGATGATAATCTTTTAAATACAAATAACAATAATAATAATAATAATACGAATAATAACAATAACAATAATACAAATAATACTCCATTACCAACAGGCAATCCAGTCGATAATCATCGACCATCAGATATAATCAATGATTTAAATAATAATAGAATAAATCTACCATTAAATAATACACCAATTAAAAATTTAATTGAAAATTGGTCTAAAATTGTTGCATCATCATCATCGAATTGGTTACAAATAGTTGAACATAAATCAAACAATAATATTTTTTCAAATAAAATGATTCCCGCATCTCATTCACGTTTTAATTATGCAAATCGTGCTACAAGTGAAAACAATTTAGCTTTGAGAAAAAAATCTGTTGAAAACAATGCTAAAAAACATCATCAATCATCAAATAATCTTCAAATGAATAAAAAAATGCTTCCATCGCCACTATTACCTAGTCTATCAGCATTTCAACAAAAATCTTCATCAATAAACCAAACAAAATTTGATGTCAATGCGTCGAAATGTTCCAATAAGAAAAATTCTAATGAAACAAATACAAATGATAGTGAATTTGATGCACTTAAAATAACTATTTTAGATATATTTGGTTTTGAAAATTTTTCAACAAATACTTTTGAACAATTATGTATTAATATCGCCAATGAGCAAATTCAATATTATTTTAATCAACATGTTTTTGCATGTGAACGACAAGAATATATCAATGAAAATTTAAGTGTTTTACCATTACCAGCCAAAATTGATTTTACTTTCTATGATAATCGGCCATTACTTGAAATGTTTCTTAATAAACCAGTAAGTTTAAAATTAAAATAAAGAGTTTACCATACATCATTACGTGTTCGTGTCACTCTGAACATATCTACTTGTATTAACATAGCATATTGTAAAAGACCGTAAAAAAAAACGTCTGATTCTAATTAATTCATTGAGACTCTCATTATTCATAAATCACGATTCCAAAATAGTCAGTGAGTATTTCATACTAAGAGTTTATATCCGTAGACTAATCCTTCGTCAGAATACAGCAATCAAAGGTTAAGATCATCTCTCGTAAACATATTTTCATGTCAATATGATCCATTTATATATTATAGTATAGATTCAATTAGCACATTTACACTGTATCTCTCTGAAGCATTACTCCACTCAAAATCAAGTCAAATCATTTATAATTACATGATAAATCTCTCAAGAAATTGATTGGTTTCTATATTAAACGTGGAAGATAGAAAAAAAGTCATTTTTTGATTTTATATTTTGTTTAGGTTGGTATATTAGCATTAATCGATGAAGAAAGTCGTTTTCCAAAAGCTACCGATTATACATTAGTTGACAAATTAAATGCAAATTTTTCTAATTCGCCATTATATATTCGTTCGAAATCAAGTTTTTCTTCTTGTTCACAATATTCAATATCATCATCAACACTTCAATCTATTCCATCATTTTCAATAATTCATTTTGCTGGTCAAGTTCAATATGATGCTCGTGGTTTTCTGGAAAAAAATCGTGATTATCTAGCACCAGAAATTATTCAAGTTCTGCGTTCATCACGTGTTCAGTTAGTTAGTTCATTATTTCAATTGCCATTAACAAAAACAGGTGCATTGCAAGAAAATTCAAATGAAAATTATCATTCACCCACTATTGAGCCATCAACAACTACTACTTTTGACTTGAATAGTACATTGATACCAGTCAATGCAAGTCACAACCGTGTACAAGCAACTGTTAGTACTTATTTTCGTTATTCATTAGCTGATCTTTTTTCAAAGATGGTTCATGGTTCACCAAAATTTGTTCGCTGCTTTAAACCAAACAATGATCGCGTACCAGGTTGTTTTGATGCTCCAACGGTTCTTGAGCAATTGAAATATAGTGGAATATTAGCTGGTAAATATTTTAGGTTTGGTTTTGTTCAATATGAAACATTTTTCTCTAATTCTTAGCTGCTAAAATTCGTCATTATGGATTTTCACATCGTATACCATTTGCAAATTTTATTCAACGTTATTCTATTCTTGCCTATCCAATGAATATTGATTTAACATTAACACGTGAAACATGTGAAAACATTTTATATAAGTTAAAAATGCAAAATTGGACAACGGGTTTGTAGTTTTGTAGATTTTGCTATTTTTTCATGAAACACGATCAAAATGGACTGACACACTACGAGTAGTGAGAGCAGGAAAGGAGAAATATAGAAAGGCTTCAGAATAGATCAATGCCTGCAGCAATGATGTTATGTAGTAGTAATACTCCGGCGTATATGGATAAAATGTTCGACTGTTTCACATACGACGACAAAAGGAAACTAGTCAAAGACTATTATGCACCATAATATATATATATATATATATACAAATGAACAATTTTGTCGTTCAGTTATTGATAGAGAAGAATGTACAATCATGGATTATAATAATAATAAGGTTTCATTTTTATATATGACCTACTTTCTGATTGTATTGCAAGTGCATGACGTCATATAGGGTGTTGAGTAAAGTTGTGCTAAAATAGATCGAATCAAAGTATCTCTCGAGAATTAGTTAGAGATATCTAGATCATGCTTTACGGCTTAATCTCATAGACACATTGTTTCTACTTTGCAGGTAAAAGTAAAGTATTTTTAAAATACTATCATGCTGAACAACTATCACGTCTCTATTCGGATATGATACGTGCAATAGTAACAATACAATCATATGTTCGAATGCGTTTAGTACGTTCACGTTTTAAACAACGTCAATATAAACATTCGAATGATATGATTATACAAGAACTTCATCGACATCCAAAATTTTCACGGGTAAGTTAAATGTATTATTACTTAAAACAGAATGATTCACTTTTTTTAAATTTCATTATTTAGTCAAATATTGATGATGAACAATTAACAAAAGAAAAAGCTATTATTCATATTCAATCATGTATACGTGGTTATTTACAACGCTATCGTTTCAGACGAATGAAAAATAGAAAACCAAAAGCAACAAAATCCTATGAAACAGCAGCAGCAATCATTCAAAAATGTTACCGTGGTTTTGTTGTACGAAAAGCATATCATATTTATCGCCAACGTCTTAATACACAAATATTATGTTTTTTACAGCATATTGAGTTGATTAGTAATGAATTTTTTACAAAAACTGTTAAAACAAATTATTCAGTGCCATTTAAAAACCTTGAACCTCGACCAATCAATATGTTTCTCAATAAAACATTTACACAAAGAATTTCTCAATATTTATTTCCACCATCTCCACCATTGCCAGTACCATCACCGTTTTCCATGTTCTCACCTCCATTACCACCGCCGGATGCACCTACTTTAATAAGACCATCAATGATAACATCGTCAATTGCTCTTCCACCCCCACCGCCGTCATTATTTCTTGCTATAAGACCATCACCACAAGCTCGCCATCAAGTAATAACAACAAATCGATCACCATCACCACCAACAGCTTCCAAATTTGCTCAAGTCAGAGATATATTTGCTCGTGCCGAAGCAGCAGCGGTTGCAGCTAATGCACATAATTTTCATTCTCATCTTCATCATCAAGTTCCAATCAAAACACATAACCCAAATCAACATATACCTTTAATAAATTCTTCATCACATCAAGTTTTACCTATTGAAAGAAATCGTAGTCCTAAACCAGTAACTGTTCTAAGTGCTGTACAAGAATATCAAAGACAACATATCAATGCTAATCATATAGGTCAGAAACGCTTTGGTGTTATACCTGGTGGGCCACCTGTTATTCATAATAATCGTCCAATTAATATCAATGGAAATAATTATATCAGACCTCGTGGTATTGGAGCATTTATTTCAAATAATACTAAACCTCTATTCCAAAATAAACAAACACCACCCGCCGTCATACCTAGTTATGTTTTACCATCACCAAAACAACAAGTTCAACCATCAAAACCAATGTCACCGGTAAGTTACCAATAATTTAGATAGACTATATTTAATTTCTTGAAAACATTATTTACATTTACTTATATCTTCAACAATGTCATACTCTATATTATTGTTCCATGAAAGATAGGATTATAAAGAATCAGTAGTTTTTTTCAATTACACTATAGAAGCTATTTTTGTAAGTAAAATTCGTTATTAGCAAGAAAACAGCAATTACTTTTTTTCAAGTACTTATACTTTATAAAAAAAATGTCAAGTTGAACTTTCTGATTGAGTTAATAACATTTAATAAATCAAAAGATAAAAAGTTCGATGAGAGTTTTAAAGTTAAAAAAATAGTCAATAGGATATGTTTTCATTAGTTTGATAAAATAACGTGTACGAAACTTGATAAATATTTATCATGGAAAGAGTTCATGATATAGATAGTCTATATATAAATAAGAAAGATCAATAAAAGTAGATGATGGTAGGAGCTAATCAGTTTTTTCTTAATTCTGTTTTTCTACTTAAGTGTTACCATTGTAGTATTCCCCTACAATTCTAAACGGATATTGAGTGGTCTTTTCTAATATAAAGGTAGTACATCTGCCTGGATAGCACAGAATGTGTGCCTTGAATCCCACGGAAGGATCATATTTGTCTTCGTTCTGTGGTTATATCATATCGCTGTTAGTCCAGCACCTAACATTAAGAAAAATATCCATCGTTGATATGCATAATGCTTTTATTATATGATAAAATAAAATTGCATTTTTTTTCTAGGAGCCTTCATTATCAACTCAACCGAAATATGCATTTCATATTTTACTTCGCAAAACTGGTCAAGATCTAAGTACAGGACAAACCCTATCAAAACGACGGATAATCAGTGAAACAAAACAAATTGATTTTCGTAGTGTACTTAAATCACGACATTTACTAAACGCTGGAGGTGATAATGAATCAATCATCAAACCGAACAGTGCATTTCATCAGCCAACAACAACTGTTGACAATCGAATACGAATGAATGATCTTTAGACAAGCAAAAAGCTAAAGTCATACCAATGATAATAATCATGTACATAAATCCGGTGTGGGGAAAATATTAATTTATAGACAATATTAAAAGAAATAGGAAAAGTAGAAGATTATCTTTCTACTTTGCTCGGCGAGTAATGCTCGTTTTTAAAAATAAAACATGTTTGATCGCAATATGCATTCTTATATTATGCTTTCTACATTTGTTTTCAATATTATTTTTGTTTCTTTTACTTCTTGGCTTATTAAAGGGTTGTTTTATTTAAACAAAAAGAAAAAGAAAGTGTTCGTTGTTTTTTTTTGCTTTGTAATTCTATTCAGTTCTTCATGACTCATACGCAAATAACAAAATAATAAATTTTTCCTTTAAAATATGAGAAAATTTCCTTTCTTCTATTTTTTCCTCATCTAAGGACAAAATGTCGAACATGAAGTTCAACAATGTTAGCTCTACTATGTATAGAATGAGAAGGATGTATAAGGAATGAAAGAGAGATATATTAAGAGCGAAAGAGACAAGCACTGTCACTGATATTATGCGACAGAACGAAGAAAAAATGAACTTCGTGGGACTCGAATCAACACCTTCCGCTATCCGGACAGATGTCCTAACCAATTAGACTAGAAGAAAATCTTAATCTTTGCTTAGCGTTAATAAGTTACATCACGAACGCTAACAAATAAGATTAGAGTAGAGTGGGGTTATTGCATATGAAAAATCGCTCTACTTTTTTGTAACTATCATAATTCGGTCAATCTTACGAATTTTTTTAAATTTTTTATTTGTGGGTAGTTGAATGTCTTCTCTGCAAACTTGTATAAAAATTACCAATAGCAGATTATCGAAAGTTGTTGAATCGCTCTTTTACTACTAGTCCCTACAAATAATATGCAATCGGCTCGTAGGGCGTAATTGCATATTCCCAGCTATTTTACATGGAATCACTTAAAATCGGCTTTCTCATCAGCCTTAAAAGATTGAGTAATTATTTTTTCACAGATCGATAGAGAAAGTGATTTTCTTCAAACAGTGAGAATTTTACTGTTAAGCTTATGATAATGCTCAAATAGTTTTTGGAAATAAAAGTTTTAAAAATTTATGCTTTTCCCACTTGGGGTAATTGCAGATAGCTAGCCAAAATCATTAGCAATAAAATCATTTTCTGCTTGATATTTTGTTTTTTTAGAGTAAAATTCAGTTCATTTATTTATATATGGAACTGAGCTAATTGGCAACTTTTGACAAATAGATAAAAGAAATTATTCAGAATGTAACCCTATAATATTTTTTTGCATTTTAAAATAATTCTAAATATGTTTGTAGAGATCTGTATCGGGACAAGCCAAAAGTAAAAATAATATGATCCATCGATTTCATATCACGCCCATTTGACAACAAGAAAGTGTAGTAGCTCGAGTAAGAATTACTGTCAAGGAAATTTCCTTGAGTCAATCTAATACAAAATACATCGTTAGATATTTTTAAATCTTTCTCTTTTCTTGTTCTCATCAACAAATAAAAATATTGATGGATGAAAAACAATAAAATCTGTCTGATCAACATTGCACAAACATAATGTAACAACATTTAGTTTTCTATTCATCATTCTTTTTCTAAGCATTAGTGCAAACACTTTTTGTATCTCTATGCTTGTCGTCTGTCAGTTTCTTTCACACACACACACACACACTCTCTCTCTCTAATTTTCTGTCTCTGTTTCTCTCTATGCAGTTTTTCCTTCTTCCGAATGAAGAAGAACAGAAGTATCGTCTCGGAAAGGAAAGCAAGTATAGGAGAAAGAAGAGAACATTAGAGTCCGTCGATACTTAAGTTATTGTTATTTTTTGTCTACTAAAGACGAGAAGAAAATAATCGAAGAAGAACAAAATATCATCAATCTCGACTAGAACATCGACAAACGAGAAAATGAAACATCTTTCGATTGTTTCTAACGATCGATCAATTGTTTTGTCAATATCCATTATGATTATATTCACTACATTACTTGGTAGGTACTTTAATAAAGAAAAGAAAATGTGGTAACAATGACTTCCTTGTTTTATCAACACTAGCACTTTAAGTAATTCATAAATTTTTCAAGATCCTACTGTTAAAGTCATAACATATCTACTTTAGATTATCATTATCATGCAATCTTAATATTAATTTTCCTTGCTTTTCTGAGATTTATCTTTCGTTATTGATTTATAGTATTTCAAAAAACAAAAAAAAACAGTGGTTATCTGCAATTACCCCAAGTGGGAAAAGCATAAATTTTTAAAACTTTTATTTCCAAAAAACTATTTGAGCATTATCATAA